ATGGGACGTGGTGAAGGGGGGAGGGGTCGGAGATGGGAAGGAGAGGTTAATTCAAAAGTTCGTTCGTGTGAGTCAAAGTACTAAAAAGGATTGGTAGTGTTTTAAATGGACATCTAGACACTCTAGGTCATTCGGATGGGCGAACTGCGGCTTTCATTTCTTTAGGAAACTTTTCTTCTTCTTTTTTAAAACGCCCCAATCGACACTGTATTTATTATGAGACAGTCAATAAGAATCCTTCCCGCACGAGAATCGAACGCAGGCCTTCTGCCTGTTATGGCACAACACGTAACCGCTACACTGCAAACGTCGGTGACGCTTCTTTCTATGCTTTAGTAAGAGTTTTACGGCCCTTGCAACCCAATAAGGTCATATTAGAGCCGAAGATTAAAGGTGGGGGGCGGAGAGATAAGAACGAAAGATGTTTGGTAGGGAAAGAAGGAGAAATCAAATCACACCAGAGCATCCGCCAGTCATCATATCACTTCTTTAAATGCTGGGGAAAAGAAATATGGAAAGGCAAGTAAGGAAGATCAAAACCTGTCTCCTTCCAGCTACAGACAGTTCGAAGGGGCGGATGGGTGGGTGGGTGGAAGGATGGATTGACGGATGGAAGGGTGGGTGGATGGAAGGCACGACTCATGTAGCCTATCTCCCCCTCCCCCCTCCCCCACTCGCTCTATTATTTATAGAAGGAAAATAAAGAAGTGGGGGTAGGAGGAAACCGAACCAGCCCGGATAATTTATTGAAACAACAAATTGGTGTTTGTTCTGGAAAGTTCAACGACCGAGTACAGTAAGTGAAAGGCTAATCTCCCCTCTCAATAAAATTAAATTACATTTGTATAATTTAATTAAGAGGCGTGACCTTTAAATTTAACATATGTCTCCAATAGGACTGAACCAAATGGGATGAGAGCCTTAAAAACTCCACAAAACGACTCGAGTTCAAGAACGCCTGGTCTGGGATTCAAACCAGGGCCATCCGCTCCGTTACCTAACATGATATTATACCATTTTAATATCATTTTCATCATAAACAGCGATGTGTGCGATCTATCAAGTTCAACGACCCTTGTGACGTGATACAGGAATTCGTAACACGAGGCAAATCGCTCAGTCTCCAACAAAAACAAAGCCAGTCTGAGATAGCATGAAACATTAGTGTGTGTATCTGGGTCACTGAATGACTCAATTAAAAAGTGAGCTCTTTATGGTGTACATGTGTACATAATTATTCCAGCTCCTTTGGCTTTAGTAAGTGTTTTACGGCACTTGCAACACAATAAGGTCATATAAATGTCGAAGATTAGAGGTGTTACAAAAGAGTAACAAAAACAACAAGAAGGAGGGGAGATAAAGATGATAGAAGTTCGATAGAAAAGAAGAAGTAAACCACACCAGAGCACCCGCTAACCACCTAATGGTTTTAGGTCTGTGAGAATGAGTTCAAAAAGTGAACTATAGAACAATCTTTTGAGCTTCAAATGAACTTATGTCTCTCCTTGAGTGGCACATGTTTTTCTTCTTGACTCCTCAATTTTTTAGACAAATCCAGACTTTCAGAGCATAATATTGATAGTTACTACTACTAATACATGTGTTTAGAATGCTGGCAGGTCTACTTTCATACTGGCTATCGAAATGATATGATCTGTTGGAATTGAGTCAATGGGAATACAGAGAACTGGAATGTCATAGAGCAGACAGACAGACAGACAGACAGACAGACAGACAGACAGACAGACAGACAGACAGACAGACAGACAGACAGACAG